GTGAGTGCAGGATGGTTATTCATTTTGCATTCAAGTTGTGGCCATTCATTCTGAGACATGTTTGCATGCAGTCTGATGAGCCCTCTCTCATATGTGTAAATACTGTATTGCACTGGGCACAGGTACTGTATGAAGTCTGAAAGAAGTGCACATCGTCTATAATGGGCACTGCAGGTAATCCAAATCCAGAGCTGATCTCTTTTAAGTACTGTAGTAAGCTACTAAAGTCCAAGTTAGCAAATCTCTGTCCTTTCCTTGCAAGGGGCAGGTAGATGTGTCTAAGCCCAGGCACATGTACAGAGATAGCGGTTGGCCAGCAGTGTTCTCTTTCCCTTTGTAGCAGGAGTTTTGGCAGTATGATGTTAATAATTGTTTCCAAAAGGAAAACTCTGTATTTGGATGCCTTAACCTTTGCACAGACTTAAGTCTTTAGTCAGTTTTTATTGACAAACAAAATGAAATTGTGCCACGTGCCTCCCTGTATAAACCCCATTGTGATAAAATGACGTCTTTCTACCAGATGAATTTCTTTTTTTGTTTGTTTTTCTTACTTTTAGAGTGGCATCTCTTGTGGGTTTGATGTTTTCTTCACATGAAAATGTAAACAATGTCCACATTCTCCTTTTAATTATACCCAGCTGTCAATAAAACCTGTTCCTTATTGTCCATAAAAAAGTCCAGATGAGAAAATCTGAAACACTGGAGCTTTCACATAACAGTAATGGATCCAGCTGTATAAGAACTCATTGTTCCCTGCTAGAAACTTTATTGTTCCCATTAGTAAAAATCAAGAAATGAATTAATATGCCCTTCTTACAGCATCATGAGAACAACACTTTTGTGCCATCAGTATAATGGGGGCTGGCCTAAGTCTGCACACTGACTGTGGTGTTTATAGCAGGCAAATTCTAACTTGGAATTCCTACCACTATAATGGCAAACATTACAGTGGTATCTAGGGCTCAGAGACAAGTGAACAGGCAAGTGATTCTCCACTGAAGTAATGGGACAATATCCCACTAGACAAACTGGTGCAAAGCAGGTGTTGCAGATCCACAGCTTGTACTTCTGCCAGCACACTCACTATGAGATTGTGATTTTCACAGCTGATCAATAAATTATCAGCGCAAATGTGAAGAAATAAAGCTAATAAATGTTCCTTGTAATTATGCTGTGAATTTATTGCAGTTATAACTCTTATAAATGATAAATGCCATTTTTAACTCTTTACTGACTGCAGAAATTTAATGATACTATTTTTTTTCCATAAATGTCAGAGAGCTGACGTTTTGAATGAAACATTTTTCTGTTTTAAATGACACAGTTGCCACCATAGTGCAATGGTTGGCATTACTGCCTCTCAGTGCTTGGGTTCTGGGTTCAATTATGGACGTGGGGTGCTATATGTTTGGAGTTTGTATGTTTGCATGGGTTTCCTCCAACAATTTAAACACATAATAATAGTTTAATTGGCTTCCGGGCAAATTGGCCCTTTTGTGAGTTTGCGTGCGTGTTTGTGTCTGTGTGTGTCCTGCGATGGACTGGAATCCCATCCAGGGTGTCTTAGAAAATGCATGGATGGCAATTATACAGTACGGTACTTTCATAGTTTTGTTAAGCCAACAGAGGGAGCTGCTGCCCTGGTTCAGTCTATGTAGGAATGTAAGAAAGAAGGTAAAGCACTGCAAACCCCAGCTGTCCGCTCTCAGAGAGCTGACATTGATGACCTAAGAGCTCTAAGCGGTCCAAATAAGTGCTGGAAAAAATAAATGGCCACACCCAGGAAATCTTGAAACCAATTTTAAGTTTGATTAAAATTGAAAAGTCCACTTCCCGGAGTTGAGGAATCCCAGTGCAACTCTTGATGTCACGGACCTTCTGGGGAACAGAGGGGCTCTGTGTAAGAGAACGGAAAAGGCTGGAAACTGGGCTCTCTCTCAAACGCAACGTAAAGATGGAAAACATGATAGGCTGGCCGTCATGTAAGCTCTATTGATATAACCAAACTTTTGGATATCTGCCATTATTTTCACAGAGGCATTTGTTCCCCTTACACTAAGGAAACACATTAGCTGGTATTCACATACCGTCCTGTGTCTTTGATATCATTCCATAATTAAATCAGCTGCTGATGTATCCAGTACAGTGGCTGCTGTTCTTTGAAGCTCATGGGATATGTGATCTATACACCATGTCTGACATTGTTATTTAAGCTAGAGGAGGTATTTGAATTCAATTTGAATCACATGGAAGTAAATATTAAAAAAACATTCTAAGAGTTAGCAGCTATATCACCCTGCAGCTCTCAACTGGCTACCCACTGAAGCTGAGCAGGGTTGAGCCTGGTCAGTACCTGGATGGGAGACCTTCTGGGAAGCTATGGTTGCTGCTGGAAGTGTAGTGGGACCAGCGGGGGGTGCCCACCCTGTGGTCTGTGTGGGTCCTAATGTCCCAGTATAGTGGCAGGGACACTATACTGTAGTGGGTGCCGTCTTTCGGATGAGACATTAAACTGAGGTTCTGACTCTCAGTGGTCATTAAAGATCCCCGGGCATCTCTCGATAAGAGTAGGGAGTTATCCCGGTGTCCGGACCAAATTTCCCCCCTGGGCCTCCAAATTGCCCCCATGTCTGATTGGCCTGCACTTGCCCTGTAATGGACAGGCGCCCCGTCCAGGATGTACCCTGCTTCGCAGATGTTGCCTGCTGGGTAGGGTCCAGCTTCCTGCGACTCTGTATGGTATAAAGTGGTTTGGCAAATGACATGACATTCCGAGAATTAAAAACAAACTTTTTGGTACATTAGAAAAGGGAAAAGAGCACATGTTTTTCATCAGCCCAAAATAAGAAACGTAAGAACAGTCACAACAACAGGAGCCCATTAGGCCTAGCTGGCCCATGTGGTAGTTTAGCAGTTAGTGGACCTGAAGATCTCAATCTTTTCTGTACAGAAGCCAGGATACAAGTGGCAGAACCAAGACAGGACAGGTTGTTCCAGACTCCCACAACCCTCTAGGTAAGAAAGTGCTTCCTGTTCTCAGTTTTCAAGCCACTTACTTGTAGTTTCCACTTGTGTCCTCTGGGTCATGTTTCACTGTTCTCACTGAAGAAATCAGATGCCTATCTTGTAATCTTCCCTGTTCAAGACTAAAAGGGTTCAGTTCTTTCACCGTGGCAGTGTGGGACATCTCTTTAAATACTTTAAATACATCTCTTTTCTGAACTGATTCCAGAGTAGCACTATTTTATATTGTAACAATTCACCGTAATGTTGTACATTACTTTATTTACTGTAGATTTTCAGCAGCAACAATGTTCCTAATTCCACAATACCCAGTTACTGTACTGCAAACACTAACTAGTCTCGTCTGCGGGGACTGGACAAGGTTGTTGTGCACTGCCGCCACCCTGTGGAAAAACGTGAACATTGCATCTGAAATCACGAGTTGAGTGTTAAAGAGAATTCAGTTACACCCTGATGTCACCAGAATTCGTTTTTTTTTTGTTTCTTCGTGTTTGTTCTTCATTTTAATTTTTTATTATTATGTACCAATTGTTTTACGTGCTTCTGCTTCAAGAAAGGAGAACATTACAAGTGCAACTGAACATATAATTTTAACAAAATATGACATCAGAAAATTGATTCAACAAACACCATAAGAAAACTGGTGTTTAACTTAGGTTCTGCATGGAGAACAACCAGTAATGACTTAAAATAGATAAAACAACATAAGAGAGGGACTTCAGGCTAAGAATTATCCTTACGACTGCCGGTCAGAGCGACTGATCAGAACATTTAGACGCAAAACATTCAAATACTTAAATATTCTGAAAAAAAATATTGTGAATAATATTTTGAATAGCCACTAAACATTCAGTTATTTATGTCCTGCCTGAATAGAGCACTTCTTGAGTATGTCAGACAAAACATCAGACCTACAACAGAGGATACACACCTAGCAGGTAATCTACCATCACTTGATAACAAGGTTGACAAATTCATATGCTTCTGACTGTTTAGATTGTTATTTTAAAATTGAATAAGTATTACAAATAAGACATTAACATTTAGTAATACTCCACTAATCCTTCACTGAACATCTCGGTATTGCACATCTTATTCAGCATACAGCAAACCTGAAATTTTTCACAATGTGCTGTTTATATAATGATCACATTTATTCCAAATACAGTATGATGTAATGATAATGTATATGGTTCTATACGTCAGCTTACAAAATGACAGCTGTTTTTCTTTAAAGGCTTAAATGGTTTGGCTCCTGCCTACATCAGTGAGCTGTTAACCCATTGTGCTATACTGTACACTAAGGCACTAGGCTGTCTGTTCTCTCACTGCTGGACTGAGGAGTGATCTCCCAGCCCCTTTCAGAAGCTACAAGTCAATCAGCACTTTCAAATCCCATCTAAAAAACTCACTTTTAAACTCTTATTTTTTAATTCTCTTGAATTTACAGATTTATTTATGGTAATGCCTTCTTTTGTTTGTTTAAATGTGCAGTGCTTTGAGATGAAGCACCATGAAAGGCGCTTTATACTGTACGATGGTTGTTATTATTATGCACTGCTGCCTGTGGCTCTGTAACAAGCCCTAGGATTATTTAAAAGATGCATCTGAGGTCAGGAATAGAAGACTCTGTCTGTTTCCTTGGAAACCCCATTATTACACTGTATAGTCTGACTGGCTTGCAGTTACAGTACTACCAAGTTTCACATCACTAGTATCAGAGTGTCAGTGTTAATCTGTATAGCTGGGGTCCTGGAACTCTTCAGTTATACAGGTTTTATATGTAGTCCTAAGTACTCTATGAACAGAGAATGGAAAACATGTTAACTCCTCTTCTGAATCAAGGAACTGATGGATTAAAAGTGATCACTGATGCAATAAAGTAATTAAGAGCTCAACTGGAATGAAAACCCAGAAACCATTATGACTCCCCAAGAACATGGCTGCAAATCACTGAGGCAGACTATAGCTGTTTGTTAAATACTGCATTTTATCCTGCATTTGAACACATAATTCATGCCTTGCGATGAAAGAGGAACTCCAGGGATAACACCACAACATGTAAATATAATATTTATATAATACATTAATTTAGTCTGCAGATATTTTTTGGTCCTTCTAGAACAAATGTCAAGATTTCCATTAATGTGGTAGGTCACACTCCCTCCATCCTCTATGCAGTCATTCAGCTTATGTACGTGCATGGGCATAAATCTTGAGAACTTCCTCTTTCTTTTTCTCAAATTCCAATGAGTATCTCCCATCACAGCAATCCCCTGTTAAATTTGAAAAAGCTCCTATCTTAAGCTGGGGACAGCATGTTTTAATAGTGGCTTGTAATCCTACATGTGGAACATTACACATGGAAATGGCATCAGCACATACTTTGACATAATAATTCCTTGTTATTAAATATCTCAGTCTTTCACCTCATACCTATAATATCTCAGTTGCCATCATTTCAAATAAAATCAGATACTTTTGGAGGTGGAGTTTCCCTTTAATGGCAATATCTGTGCAATACATTTGACAGCATTTACTGCACTAATCTGCACACTCATAAGACCACAATACACATGTTTCTCACTGTGTCGCTTTTAACTAAGATAAGGTGGTCCGCTTCATATTCTTAACATTGTTCTTAATAGTTCATAACATCCAGTCAAATACTTTTACTACTTTGATTTCAAAAGCCACAATATATACAGTAAGAGGACAACAGAAACCAGAGAATACTAAGCCAGAGTCCCAGTAGACGACATCTGTTATTCAGAAATACTGGGAAAGTGTTAGAATAATTTTGGTATACTGTATGTTGAATCCTAGTCTACAAAGATTTATCACGATACAAACAAATAGGAATCCCACCTGACATTTTACCAAATCAGGTCGGGTGGAGACTGTACTAGCAAAGCTACTGTGTAAAGTGTCATAGGTAGAATTCCAACCTTGCATGTCAATGATACACACGTTAACTGGTTGCAGTTTATTTCCGGAGATGTATTTCAAAACACTACCTAGAAAATTGTTCATGTTCTCAAGACAGTGTTGAACAACTTTCCCAATGCAGTAAAATCCCATCGCATTTTGGGCAACAAAACAGCATCATTTAACTGGAGGAAAAAGTCTTTGTAAACGCTGCTGCCATTTTATTTGCGACTTTCTATACAATAATCTTCCTCAGTCGCGGATCCAGACATTTCTGAGGGGATTTTTACAAAAATAGTTTTCGGTGTCCAGAACGTGGCTTGAACAGGAACAAAGCCACCATCTTGTGGAAAAAGCAGTCGCACTAGCCTGTGTTGGATACTGGTCTGTTTGTCCCCAGTCAGAACAGGTAGCAGCCTTTGGCCTCAAGTCTTTTGCAGCGTGCACACCAGCCACCCCAGGAACGTCTCGTTGGGGCTGAAATGATCCATCTTCTAGCTCTGCCACTTAACAAGCAAACCAGCTTTCCCTAATGCATAACCGAAATTGTCTCGCAGGTGTTGAAAAAAGCAAAATCCCCACAGAGGCCAATCAGAGCATGTGTAGTCTGCAGTGCTGTATCACTGTCTGTGGCAGAACGCTGTCTTGCAAACCACTGCTTCTCCACACTAAGCTGAAGAAAACACAACCCTGTCACCCTAGCGCTGCAATGACAGCCACCATTGTTTATCCGGCCTTCTGTATTGTAAGGCCTATGCCATGGTTAAAACTTTTAATTTGTGTTTCCCCAAAATGCATACAGCCTTTTAATGAGTAAAATGAAAATGATTAAAATACAAATTACGACTCGATTGAGTCCTATTGTCACTTCTTTGGGATTTGTGGGAAAACTATTATGCCTCTCGGCCTTTTGTCACCCAAGTCTGAGTAAAAGCCCCAGGTTTGACGCTGGAACTAATAATGTTTTTTTTTTCCATCCAACAGTTTTTGAAGATTTTGGCTATAAAACTTTTTTTTTTGCAGTTCTTTTATGAAGGTAAATTTGTTTTTATCAACAGACGTTTGAGGACAAATAAAAAAGGCTCTGGCAGCCAGTCGCTCAGGCTCCACAGAAACTGGCGCCTGCTGGATGGCTGTTGCCAGTGCAGCTGAAGGGTTGCTCCAGAACCTTCCTCCCGCAGTTAGCTGCACTCCTCACAGGCGCAGGCCAGGATGTAGCGGTATGTGGCGGTGACACGTGTCCCGCCCGAGCAACGCAGGCGCACCGCCTTCAGTTTGGAGGTGTGGGGCCGACAGCAGAAGCAGGTGCTCCGGAAGGGCTGCTTGAGCATGGAGCTGAAGGAGACCAGGGGGTCCGACCGCGACGTGTGGCCACAGTGCCCCTCGCACCTGGCCAGGAGGACCATCTGTAGAGCCAGAACACAGAGACAGTTCAACCCTGTCATCTCTATGCCGATCTTTGTCAGTTGGTGAATCATCTGGATTATTCACTGCAGTTTTACAGAAGGTCCTGTTTTTCAATCTGTGTTAACTTTATTGTGCATCATATTACCTGGTACTGTATCTCAAGTGATCCTAGTAAATTTAATATTGTAACATTAAAGAACTATATTATGAATTATTTGCACTGTATGACAAAGGTGATGATGAAGTTTATGAGAACAATAGAAAGCATTAACACACTGCTCTTACAGTACAGTACATCCACCCATCTTTTTACTAACTGCTTCTTCCAGTTCAGGGCCAGAGTCTATCCCAACAAGCAATGGGTGCACCCTGCACAGGACATCAGCCTGCCTAGGGCAGACACCCACACACTCAAGGGCCACTTTCCCCAAAATCCAGCTAACCTACCAGCATGTCTTTGGACTGTGGGAGGAAATTCACACAAACATAGGGAGAACATACGAACTCCACACAGCACCTCAAATCTAGAATTGAGCCCAGGGCCCCAGTGCTACAAGGCAGCCGTGCTAACCAGTGAATTTTATATCACAAACACCTTGTATCATATTTAAAAAAGACATGTATGCTGTGTGCCTCTACTTACTCCATCGTCGTGTATTGATTTTTTTTCAGAATGCAGTCTACAAACACAAACCCTCTATCTTCACAAACATTTCACATTCGTCCAAGCTCATGGGCCAAGGCCATCTGGTTAAACTCCGCATTAAACTGCGAACCCAGGAGATATACACTCCCAGTACCTATCAATAATGATCAATAGTGGTCTAAATGTCTTCTAGCTTCCCATGATTTTCAATACATGTCTTCTGTCTGAATTATTTTTTTTGACTGATTGCTATACATGAGCTTTCATACAGCCATTTTGAGAAGTTAACACTGCTGTCTCACAGCTCTTCGGTCCTGGGTGCGATGGCAGCAATGGGATGTCTTCTGCGTGGAGTTTGCATGTTGTCTATGTGTGCTTTTTGTTGCTCCAGTTTCCTCCCACAATCCAAAGACATGATGACCAGATATACAGGGGTGTGTGTATGTACTGTAGATGCCCTGTGTTTTCTAGGCTCTGACTCACTCTCTGTAATAAAGTTGTTTTTGAGGCTGGGTGGAAGATTGCGTAGTGCATGGGGTAAAGAAAAGGGATCAATTCAGAAATTGTCCAGGCCAAATCACTGTGTGTGTCATCCTGAACTCTCTGTGCTCTCAGCTGTGGATGAATTGTAACTTTGAAGTGACTCTAGAGTCCACCCCTAGTCTCTGTACAAAATACTTGAGATGAAAGCATCTGCTGAATAACAGATCATGACTAAAACCCGCATGCAGACAATGTCATCTTGAAAGAAGATGTGGTGTTGACCTTTGGGTGCAGCACAGGAACTGTAAGAACAAAATGATCTCGATTGTATCATTTCGGGACACATTGCGATGTGAATCAATGGGGCATGTTGTTTACTGTTGTGGCTGTAAATGCCAACATTAACCAAAGCAATAGGATCTTCCAACACAGTGGGCCACCTCCTGCAGGCCTTTGCTCAAGGTGAAGCAGTTGAAATGGGTGTGAAATAGATGCAGTGCAATTGGATCTTTACATGGGAGTTACATTGATTATTTTTCTTTGGCTGAGCCCGCGCATGAGGAGGACACGATGATTTTGAATAATTTTTGCCAACAGCATTTGAATAAAGAGAGTGGTCACTGCAGACAACAACACACAGATCACCGAGGTCAAGGGAAGAAGAGAGAAGCCACCAATGAGCCAGGGTAAGGTGCTGTGTTATAGGAGACATTGCCTAAATAAGGAGCCATTGAAACATATTGTGAAACAGCAGATGCAGAAATATCTTCACCTTTCATCCCATGGAGACTGGTAAAGCAATAGCAATGTGGTGTTATAGCATAGAAACATACGCATGTGGCAGAGTGACAACAGCTGCAGCACAGATGTCGCTGGAGGCTTTTATTTTTAGGATACAGCGCTATTTCACAGGTAGTCCCTATTGTGAAGCAGCACGACGGAGAGGTTTGGAAGCCCAAAATGTCCCTACTGCAATTCTTAGGTGGCAGAAGCACATGTACTGTAATTGAATATGGTTGAACGTCACAGGAAAAATGTCCGCTAGGGATCACCTTTCCGAGAGACTGAACACAACCGTTTGTGGCCAAAACTGCGGTTCGATATGAATTTACACCAAAGCCCTCTGCTGTGCAGTTCTTTTGCACGTTGCGTTAAATGGGCTTTGGCTTTTCTGTGCCGTGTGATGACGGCCACGCCAAGGTCTCAATCACTCATGGGCAGCTCAAACTTTTAGAGGCCCACCACACTCCCCAGATGCCCAGGGGGTGATGTCTCCTCACCAGGAACAACAACCGAGTGAGTCCTGTGACGGATGCAGTGTTTCCAGAATGACATTCAGGCACTTCCCTGCTGTATCTGCAGGGCAGCAAGACTCGTAGCTTCCCCCTGCCCTTGAGCATTTTGTAACGAACAGTTCTTTCCGGACCCTATGCGGACGACACAGTCCGACAGAGTGGGGAAACACTGTGGAAACGTCATGCAGGAAAACGGGGCTGAAGACAGGGGGGCGTGTCCAAGGTGCGCTGGTGCACGGGGGAGGTGTGGCCGAGGCGAACAATCCGAGAGAGTAGTCCTTAGGGAATATCCAAAACGCACGAGTAAGTCCAAAACCAGGAGATCCATCAAACACGAAGTTAAAACCACGAAGACCGGGTCGGAACCGGCGGACAGGGAACGGGAACAGAGGTTAAAACCTTAACGGGACCAGGCGCTTCCAGGTCCCGGACTCGCAAGATACGGAAATCTGATGCAGAGCCCGGACGAGCGTCAGTGCCTGGCTTTTAAGGTGGGCTGGGAATAGGGAGCAGGTGCATAGAATACAGTCTTGAGTGAAAGGGCTGGAGCACCCTTAAGGAGGGGGGACTATAATCGTGACACATTTAGGGACCCCACGTAAATGCAATTTATTATTTACTTTTATCAATATTGATGACTAAAAGTCACTTTGGAAGTAATGGAGAGCATCAGTGAAAAGGAAGGAAATGCGACTACTACCCTTGAAATTGTATATTTCCAGATTCAAGGCCAGCTGAGTTCTGGGATAGCTTAGGTAACAGGGAGCTGTTAACAAAAATTATATACTAGCGACTGGAGGGCTTGCAGCATATTGTACTGAAACAGACAAATACTATGAAGAATGTTTTTTTATAGCCAATAAAACACAAAGTAGTTCAGGTGGGTAGCTGCGTCAGCATGCGCAGGCTGCAAAGGAACAAGTAATAGGTTTATTCCATGCTGAAAAAAAGAAGAAAGAAAACACAAGGCTCCACGGCCGAAACGTTGTGTTTTTGTCAGCATGGAATACACCTATTTCTTGTTCCAATAAAACACAAAGCTTAGCCACACTGAAATTAACCATTTGGACAATGACACACTATATACAGTATGTGCTACACAACTGTTAGGACCCAGCTGAGCAGCAATTAGTCCTTTTTTTCGTGTGAATGGCTTCATGCTCATGCAGGAATGAGACTTGTTCATTTTATTGTACTTCCGCAGAACTGTTTTCCTCACTGTAAGTTTTCCCTGGTGGGTTTCTTACCTTTGAGTTGCATTTGTAATAAGGGTGGCTGATGGTCTCCACGAAGTGGTGCCGCATGCATCTGTCCGGGTCTGTCTCGCTGAGATTCCGGTTTTCTGGCTTGCTTGCTGCGCATCCCAGCATCCCGAGCAGTGGGCAGACGATCAACAAGAGCACGATGCCAGGGCGTCCGAGAGGGCTGGTGTTTTTCATTCTCCCCTACCCCCCTCAGCGTGAGCCTGCAGTCCCAGTCCCAGGCTCTCCTTTACAAGGGACTGCGTGGTTCTCTCCCCTGAACACCAAAGGCCGGGGCTGGACACCAGAACCGGGCTGAGGTCCGTTCAGCGCGTGTCTCCATCTCTCCCTATCCGGCTTGCCGGGCCCTGCAACAATAGGATGGTGCCGATGGGCTAGTCAGGATCGAATGAAACCATTTCCCCAAAATCTTTAACTTCACACACAGCCTGCACCACTATCACTGTCAATAAACTACGAAGGAAAGTGGTGTTTGGGCAGTTTCTGAAGCGGTTAGTACTGGCAGCTGTGGCGCAGCCTGTGAAGCTGTAAGGCGGTTTAAAAAAGTCAATGAGCAAATGGAAGAAAAGGGCAAGTTTGAGTCTTTCCAAGACAGGACTCTGAAGCTCAGCTCATGGCTCCTGCCCTGTTTCTGCCCAGTCAGAAGAGGCGACTGTTTCGGTGTCTGGAAAAAGGGGCGAATGGGTTATGGGATGATGTGCGAAGCACGTTGGCAGTACCTCCCGGTTTTAATTTTAACAGTCCGACCGAACAAAATGTTTTTATTACCCTGAAAAAAGAAATGTGATATGTTAATAAACAGCCTGGAGCTAGCTGGCTTCCCAGGAATGAGTTTTTCACTAAAAGGAGCTGGCTCTCAGAACAAGTCCTCTCATGACAACAGATCAGCTGGCAGCCAGCAGATAAATGTAGTTCTTTTCACAGGATATCTACATTTTTTGTCCTCTTTACAATGGCATACATGTTAAGTAAACGCTAACCGAAGCAGGACGGAGATGCTGTTGCTAGCATGGTGCTTTATAAGACATACTGAAAGAAAGCCAGTACAAATAAGCCCTGCTAGATGGAATGTAACTGAGCCTCAGTCCTTGGAGCCCACCACTGTATCTGGAGGAAATTTGCATTATTTTGTAAAAAAATAGAGACTATAATACCCCCTTTGTAAGTGTTTCATTCCTCATTCAGTTTATCCCCAGGTTTTATTATATTGAAGCAAAATGTTATATTGAATTAATATCCCTCAAATTCTTTTCCTGCAAAAACAGGTCAGTTTATCCCTGTATCGAAGCAGGTAGGTTAATTGAGAACAAACATGCTTATAGCAATGATCTGGAGGCCCATTTATATAACAAGGTTTTGAGTGGAGGGGCCTGAGTGTAGTACTTTGCCAAGGGTTCAACAGCAGTATCTAATCTGGAATTTGAGTCCACATCTGCCTGGTGAATATAAGCACTAATGAGCATTAGAAGTCAAAAGGTTTCTGAGGCAATTCTTATCAATCCATCCGTGATTCATAGAGAGAAGTACAGCAAATGAAAGTCTATATGGAGTAACTGAAGATACACATTGTGTGTTTTTCAGTGGTTTTCTTCACAATCACGACATACAGCAATGATTGATAGGCTAACAAAAAGTACAGTATGAAGTATCTGTTTCTTTAACTGATGAAAAAAAGGATTGTTTTCCAAACTGGAATGTGAACATAGTTTATAAAAATAATTAAGAACAGTGTTCTGGATAATAGGGTTTCTATCTGGTTGTTCCATTTCATGGGTCCTTTTTAAGAACCTTTATGATGACAATATGTATTTAATTATAATTTATAGAGCTTGGCAACATTAGAGCCAACTGCCACAGATTAGAGATAACATAAATTCTGGTCAAAAGTCTTTAGACTTTTTGCATAGTTCTGTTCTTCTCACTAAATCTGGTCTTTTCAAACACAATCTTCTATTGTGATTTTAGCCTTTTTGTTTTAAGTTAAGGGTTTATAGTATAAACCACTATAGAGGGCGGCACTATGGCACAAAGGTTATCATTACTGCTTTGCAGTGCTGGGGCTCTAGGTTCAATTCTGGATCTGGTGTGCTATCAGCCTGAAATTAATATGTTTTCCCTGTGTTTTCATAGGTTTCTTCTGGGAACTCTGGTTTCCTCCCACAGTCCAAAGGCATACTAATAGGTTAATTGGCTTCTAGGAAAATTGACCCTACAATGATTATGTTCATATTTGTGTCTGTGTGTGCCCTGCAATAGACAGGTGTCCTGTCCAGGGTGTACCCTGCTTCATGCCTGTTGCTTACTGGAATAGGCTCTGTCTTTCCTGCAACCCTAAATTAGATAAAGCAGTTAGAAAATGGTTGGTTGGAAAAATCAACCTTTTAGCTTTCTGGATGTGTAAAGGAACAAATGATGTTAATGACAATGAAAACCTGACAATGTGTTGGTTGTATTAGATTGGTAAATGAGATGGATTGACTTCTGCAGCACTTGATATTGACTGCTCGTGTATAGTTTACCTTGAGCTATTTGAGTCAATCGGGTTTTTAAAGACTCTGCTCATGATTTGATTATGAGAAAAATGCTAAATGACGTGTATTTCTAACAGTCATATTACAATGATTAAATAAAAGAGAATACTAGTTGAGACTTTAAGTAAATTACTGATGCCCATATTGTATATTCCTGTATATAATATAATGCATTATCTCCACTTTCTTTCTCCCCTTGTGCACATACTGATTTTAAAGTTATAAAAGTAAACTGGTATTTTCACACCACTGATAATATAATCCTCTGGTATATCTGAAGTGATCTGAGTGGGTATGTAAGTAATTGAAGGCTTGAGTACTCAGTTTCATCCCTTAAATGTGCCACTAGAGCAGTTTACTGCTAGATATATATACAGTCTGCGCACACACATCTACATGCACTAAAAGGCTGACATCACAGTCCAGTTATGAATGGAAGGCAGGTCAGCTAAGTCTCTCTAAAGCTACAGAGTGGGAGGTTAACTCTCTCCTGTGCCTCCCTGCAGGGCACCAGTTCAGGGAAGTGGAGAGATGAGATAAAGGCAGTCTCCAGTACAGATTGAGAATTTCCTACACCTGCTACTGCTCGAGATTTATAGAGCAATTGTTAGTCTCGGTATTTCAACAACTAGCAGCTGTATCTTCACTTTTTCATTGTCTGAGTACAAACTACATGTACCATCTTGTGTTATTTTAAGTCTTTGTTGTGTATTTAACAATTAGCTTATGGTTTTGTATCTCAGTTCGGAACAAAGTAGGCCAAATTAAACACCTGCCTAAGCTTTTCTGTTCAATATATTGCTTTTGGTGTAGCTGATTAGTAACATTAGGTACTGACTTTAGCACCCTAGACCTTTAGGGATGTCCTTGTAAAAGCATGGCTTGACGTGGGCACCATCACTGCAAGTTATCTTTTGTTGCTTAGTAGTACATATTAAAATCAGCAGAAGTTCAGGATTCAAAACAGATCACATGAATTTCAAAGAAGATCTTGGATATGCTATTTCTCTGCCTCTCCACCATTTCATTATCAAAACATCTTACGCAAGCTAAGTTTGGTGTGAGTTTAGTTTGCTTTCAAATAATGCTCCTGATGTATAAGAGGCATCTGGAAAGTGACTGATTCATTATGTTCAATATGTACTGTTGTAATCAGAACATGATTGTAGGCTAGATTTGAACTTTAATAGCAATGTTAGTGTTTGTATTATTGTCCGGGGATTAATTCGCCCGTCTGAGCTTTGATGGATGAACCATACATGGAAATTAATGTTCGTTTTTATGGGATCGAACTCGATCGGAGTTCAAAGCGTCCTGTTTTCCAAAGCACACCCCAGCTGAAGCAACAGTCATTCACAAATACAAGACACAAGCACAGAAGGGGTACTTAGCATGAGGTCTGCAGTGCTGGAATAGTTTTTGGAAATGATCCGTCCCCAGATACCCAGGCAGGAGTGCAAACAGTCCGCTACTTTTTGATTGTGTTTGATCCTCGCAGACAATAACCGAGCTGGAAAGGGGCCTGGGACTGAGTGGGTACAAGGACTGTGAAATTCCTGAAATTCAAAACGTGCTCGCAGGTCAGAACCTCGCATGGCCTGGGCCGGTGCGTGGAGACTCTGTTAACATTAGTGTCCTTCATCAACTCCTGGCTGTCAGGAGCTCTTGTGGCGAGGACCGCGGAGGTCCGATTTATCGCCCGTGTTTGTTCATTCACTCGGCCAGAACCACAGCAGTGGGGCAGACGGTGAGGCCTTTGACCTCAGCACTTTTCCTCAGACACGCTCATTATAGGGGGAGGAGGGAGAGGGGTGATACTCCCGTTAAAAATTAGAATTCCTCTATAAGGACTGTTGAAAAAGTGGACCTGGTTTCCTCTTTTCTGAACTGCAAATACTGGAGTTTGCTTCAAAAGAAGCAAGAAAAGTTCCAGACAATAGGAGTGGAAAGTGCTACCTGACCTGCTCCAGCTATTGTCCCTGTGGTTGTCAAAACACACTTGACCACAGTCATGAAAGAGTGATGACCCAAAGCATTACACCTGCTTTAACCAAAACAGAAAGAAAATCACTGTGAAATTATAAATGCCACATCAATCTTTTCAGGGGACTCTAAAAGCAGTTGACACCCTTTTTTGAAGTTGTAGCATGAGGAGTTACAGAAGTGTTTTTTTCTCTTTCATAAGAGCACGTCACAAGGCCAATGAAGTTCTGTAAACATGGCCGATATTGTCTAATGCTCACCCGTGCTTTTGCCTTAGTTGGTACGAGTCCTGGTTTTGCACAAGTCCTGAATCTAAATTGTTCATCCATCCATTTTCTACCCACTTTATCCACTTCAGGGTCGCGGGGGAGCTGGAGCCTTTCCTGGCAAGCAACTGGTGCAAGGTAGGATACTCCCTGGACAGGATGCCCATCCATCACAGTGAATCTGAATTACAGTATGTGAGGGAAATAGAAATGAGCTGTGTGAGCTTGGCTAATTTTGCCCAGACATTAAACAGTGCGGAAGTCACAATAAGTGGGCCCTCCGGATTTCTGTTAAAGGATGTAATATTCTTCATGTTGTGATTGATAACAGTATATTCAACAGTGTTAAAGACTTCAATATAAACAATATGTGAAACTGCTTTAATACAACACTTACTGTTACATTTTCGGTGGTTCTGAGCTTTTGGTGCTGCCCATAAGAACCACATGATTCTTCCAATAAAAGATTATTTGTGGCAGTCTGAAATTAACTGAAGTCAGAAAACTTTTTAAATACCAATTTTAAGGATTTCTATGAGCACTATATTTTAAAAATCTCTCTGAACATATTGTTCGGCCCATACAGAGGTATGCCACTCAGATATTGCACTGTGTTCATTAAGATGGAGGAACGGAGAGAAAAGAGAGATGAATCCAATCAAAGACTGCATCCCGTTGGCTCTTGACACAATCGTGGATTCTCGATTTGAAAGGGAAAAAAGAGTGGAAAAAGAATGGGTCCCGAACTCCGAGCAGCTGAACTGAAGGAGCTTTTTGATGAATGTGCCGACGGCTGGCTTTGAGCAGTCAGTCGGGTCCACGGCTGGCTTGTTTCAACCTCCTTAGCCCAGCCAAGTGGTCCTGTCTTTGTTTCTGCTCATTTAGTCCCCTATTGTTTCACAGGCTTTTAATAACCAAAGGGCAGATTCCTCACAGAGCCACGTGGCACCTCAGTGACCCGTGAGGGACATGTGAATCCCCATCTCCACTGCATCAGACGCCACACTCCGCAGACTGCGGTGCTGGAGAGCTAAGCTGGGTCCTAAATATATCCCCAAAGATAAAGCCAGAACAAACAACGGATTGTAGCTCACACTGCAGCCAATGGCAGCTGGCTGCCCAGCTAATGCTGGCCTTCCAATTTTGGCTTTACAGAGGCAAGAATATGCAATGTGCTCTTTAACACCAGAAGGGCTCCTCTGTTCAAGTCATGCTCAAGTGCTTGAAGTTCAAGCACTTGTCCTCCCCGTGAGTTTTAGCCAGCACCTGGAAATTGAACTCAGTTTGGCTGCGTGCCGCGCTGTCCGGGCAGTCTTCCCTATCCGTCTCTGTTATTTCTGTTTTGTGATCAGACGGTGGGGGGGAGGTGGATGAGGAGGTTGGGGAGACGGGGAGATGCTCCACTGTTTAAAATCCTCATTTTTTGTTTTGATAGAATGACCTTCTTAAAAATGCTCCGCAAAGTGAAAATGGGTGTATTTTGAACAGTGAGACAAAGCGCCGCTGTGATCAGTGGAGAGGACACTGCGAGAAGAGACACCTGCCGCTGTGGCTGTCGGCGACAGTGAAGGTAGGGACTATAGCAGCTGGACAAGTCCTCCAGGAGACCCTTCTCTATGATGGAAAACTCTCACACCCATGAGAACATTTACCCGTCCATTTTCTGCCACTTTTATCCAATACAGAGTTGTGAGGGAGTTGGAGCCTAATCTAGCAAGCAGCAAGCACATTCCAGTCCATTGCAGGGCACAAAGGGTACACACTCACAGCTGGGCACATTTTCCCAGAAGCCACCTAACCTACAGGTACTAGTATGTCTTTGGTCTATGGGAGGAAACTGGAGCACCCAGAGGAAACGCACATAAACACGGGGAGAACATACTGTACAAACTCCATACAGAAGCAAGTGTAGGATGACAATTTAAGTGAAATGCATAGAAACATGGTACCTGCCCACTCATTTCAAAGACTGTTTTCCTTCATAACTCCATACTTCTTATAACTGAACCTTAGTTCATATTTAAAGCGCGCTTAACTCCTCCAAGTAACTAAGGATACTGTAAATCTGGCATTAACTGCAGCCCGTAAGCGCTTTCTTAGCAATAAGCCAGCTTGTTTTTAATACAGCCTCTGAAGATATACAGTGCCTAGGTACTCTCTGCACAGTCCTATTTACCAGAGCACATTAGAAACATTGTCATCTTAACATACAGTACCAATTAAATGTACCTTGTGGGTCATACATATTCCCAGTGGTCTAAAATTATCACGATTTATGGATATCATTAATGAGCCATGTACAGCTTTCTGGTGGCCAACATATTTAACTTTTCACATCCAAAAAATTATTTGTTACGAAAAATACAAATTTGACTTTTGTAAGTTGAACCCCCTTTTAAACTCCAATCATCTTAGAAACTAGAATGTACAGATATACTGTGTACAGTATTTGGATTAAAACATATAAACTGTGGAGATTTATTTCATTCTTTCTGAGATAGAGCCCTCTTTAAATTTGGGGGGCACAGAACATCTGTTTGTCTCAGCGCTTACTCCAAATTCGGAATTCCCTGCATTCCCTGTAATCACAGCAAAGTCTGGCAAGAGAATGGATTAATGACCAGGACGAGCACATTAGTCTATAAAGCTGCATGTAACTTGGTGTGGAAGCAGAAACGGCGCTGCTTTTGAAGTTCACTTACCTCTTCCTTCACTGCAATAGCGGGCAAATCCAGCTACAGCAAGGGCACCGTGGACTGAACTAGAGTCCCTCAGACATCAGTTGCCTCTCTGCTTCTTTCTCTCATGCTCTGATCTCCTGTCTGAGCTTACCTCCCTCCCTCCCCTCTCTCCCTCCCCTTTTCTCCTGTCAGTCACATGGCCTTTCCTTCTTTTATAGTGGAAACAAAAAAAAAAAGAAGTGGACGTTGTTGTTTTGAGAGCTGGTGTCAAATGGGAAACGTGACACAGGAATGATACCCAGCGAGACACGCGCACACACACGCGCGCGGGCAGGGTTGCCAGCACACTCCAACTGACACATTCTCACCAGACAAATGGGGATTCCACTCACAAAAGCGTGAGTGTCGAGTCTCTGTCATCTGAGAACAAATCAAAAGGCAGACCATGTCTTTAATGGGGTTGGAGGTTATAAAACTGTAAAGAAATTTGTTTATCTAGGAACAACTGGCTGGCCCAGCCTCTTCGGCTGAGCTTTTCACAGAGCCGTGCAGTGAGGCTGTCTTGTGAGAGCAGAACAATCCGATGCGATGGCCACACAAACTGGTAAAATCCATGGGATGTTGTCAAGGCATTGAATAATAACAGGGGCCTCCAACCAGTAAAAGCACTTATTCTGCAGCTGCTGGACCTCTATGATTACGGGTTCGGGCTTCAGTCAGGCACTCACCTGGTTAAGAGGACTGCAACCTTAAAACAATACAAAACAGTCTTCAATGGCCTGGCATCACATAATTACTGTGTTGCGACTCCGTCTGAGGTCCTAGCATTCTCCTTGGGGAAGACTGTGCTCCTCCTCTCTACTCTTGTGAATTTAAGCAGAGAGTTCCTCATAATTTACTCAATGCCCCCCCTAAACTCTGTCTCAGGCCCACACTAACTGAACACACTTTACTAGGCAGGTCAACTTGCTCTATAGTACCCAGATCTCTGGAAACACCAACAGTGGTAGTCACTCTACTTTATACCTTATCTCTCAGCCCCCTCTAGTTCCTCAAAGCTCTTTGAAACAGCCCAGCTATGCACAGAAGCACATCTTCCTTTACTCTATGGTGTCTAGACTGGTTTGTGATGAGATGGTACGTACATTGCTACCATTTCAGGCAAGGTCCTACTCCTCCAGGTGCCATTGCCTCCAGCCATTCCTGTTCTTCAGCAGCACAGTCCTTCTCCCCTGGGTAGGTCCAGAACCTGTGGTTTTTTCTATCTTTTCAAGCTACCAAGAACCACAAGCTTATGTGCCAGCCTAATATGACTCGAGGCAGAACCTCTATCTACAGAGCCCTCCTGTACATGTTTCTGCCACCAGGCTGATCCCAACCGGTCAGAGACACTCCGCCCTAACAAACACGGACTTCCCTCTCACAGCAGCTACACATTTCCTGTTCCTTCCCTACTGACATCCACTGGCAGCTCTCTCAAAAGCCTCTTCATGATATGCAGAAATGTTCCTTCTTGTGGAATGCCCTTCACTCAGACATCTCTACACACTCAATCAGCCCAGGTGTATCTAATTCAGCACAGCTTTCCAGTTACTAAGCAGTCATCTTGGCTGTAGGCCTCACCATGATTTGGGTTTTGAATCAAGATGGTGGCTTCCTCTAGGAGCCTCACACTGCAACACACACCTTCAGAATGGATGTCAGTGCTTTATATTTTAGCTTTAATATCCAAACCTCTGCAATTTAGGGCTCTAGGCTCATGTAGTACACACAAAAGTCAGAGGCCAGGGGTTTCAAAAAACCACTTAGATCCCAGACTTAAAATCCTGTGTTTCATTACCCCACTGTTATATGGTGTCTGTTTCAGATGAGCTCTTGGTGAGCAAACAAAAAAACTAAGTCTTGTTTATTATTTGCTTAACGCAGCCTTCTTAACTCTTGAAATAGTGGAAGATAATGCTGTAATTTATTGCTTCTTGCTAGAATGCATCATTTTATCTGATTTTAAAGACACTTCATTTTCATCAGTCTAGCCAGGACTAGAATTTTACCATTCACTTTCAGGTAAACAGATCCAGTAAAGAGCCGTAAAAGTCATATAGTTGACCCAACTTTATGTGCTTAATTTGTTAGAAAAGAACAGAAACATTGTTTAATGTTCATGTGGCAGTGATTAGTAATGTTAGCACGTGGCAGTATATCATTTTACCACACTAACTTGCACTCCTTTGGTAGAATTTTATAAGTGCTGTTGGAATTTCGCACCACAACATTAAAGCATAACTTTATGTAAGCCTCAGATTTTTCATTTTTGCAATTTTGCAGAAATACAAATTACTAGCAAAGCTTTTCCAAACCAGATGTGCTAAAATTGTGTACAATATAACATATTTTAAAAACACACACATCACTTAAATATCTTGATTTCAGCATTGCTAAGGGGTAACATCTGATGATTACCAAGAAACCCTCTTCCAGGTATGGTGCAAAATATAATTACAACATTTTGTATAAAATAATTAATATAGGCAACACAGCTTCAGGAGCTGGAGTTGATTAGAACTCAAGAGATGTTACAAATGAGCTCTCTTGCTTTTTTAGTTGCTAGCAGCTCTATGTTCTAAGAATTCAGTCCTGTTTAGTTTAATAGTTGGATCCAGACTCCCACAATCCATAATCCCCAATCCTACAATTTACAATCCTCAATTACAGTCTCCTATATGTATATAAGAAATGTCTTTCTAATTGTTTCCACAGGGTCTGTACTTTGAAATCTGTCTATGTGGAGTTTGCGTGTTCTCCCCAGGCCTGCTTTGATTTTTATCACCCTATCTTCCAGAGTGATGACTAGGTTTTAATTGCCCTACATTGTTCCTTCCTCTATGGGCCTGCGATGAACTGCATCCCATCTAGAGGGAGACCAGTCAGTCATGTGCTCTCATACCGAGTAGAAATCTAAACCTTACAGTTGCATTAGCACTAGCTGTAAAAACATGTTGTGTGAGCAGGGAGCTCCATGCTAACATTAAAAACGAAGTCAGCTGTATAAACTCGACAATGCCCACCAAAGCCAGTGTTTTATTGTCAGTGCTTGTAGTTTTTTTTTTCATTTCAGAACAAGCAAGAAAATAGTTTTTTCAAAGGGAACAAAGATAGCTATAAACAAAAAATATCTTGCAAATATTGCAAATTAGCAAAGAACAGCTGTGTCATCCCTCTATGAAGAAGACACGTCCCTGAAATGCACAAATGTGTTCGGTAATGAGAGAAAACTAAAGTACAAGTGTTTAGTAACACTGTGCAATCAGAATATAATGTTGCACCAATGTTTTGATTAGGTCACATATAGCATAGCTCAAATCTTATAGGTCACATTACCAGAATGCAGTGTGTTTGCTGGGAAGTGTACAGGATTCTTACAGGCAAAGAGTCAATTAGAAATTAGAGATTGAGAATTGTTTTGTTTTTTTAAAGGAAAACCTCTGATTTTAAGATAAAGAAAAAAGAATCAGTTGTTAATGTTCGGAGAGGAGTCCCAGCAGGCACCAGACAGAGATGACAGAGGGAAATTCATTTTTCATTATCGTTTGTGGTCTTCAAATATCGAGCCATGTCATTCACTTAAACACGGTATAGAAAAAAAATCAATATTGAATTACTGAAATTATTGGCACCATCCTCCAGCAAGCAATCATCTAATTGAGGCCTGTATCCCATCCAAGTCACTCCCCCGTTGGGAACAGAAAACAAGATGTGAAAACATATCTGATCCTCAGATTCCTCAGACTGGGAAAGACTGCTCTTTCATATGAAATAAGTCATTCTTTTGTACAGTCTCTACCCAAGAGGGAAAAACATCAATATGCATGTTGTAACAAGGGGGGAAATAGTTATTTCAATGCTCTCTTCCCAGAATAACTAATCCGACAACAAAGCATGCTCTTTGACAATATCAAAGGAAAGATTAGCTTGTATGGGTAAATTATATTTTCGAGTTGCAGGCAATGAGACAGACCCTCCTTGGTATTAAATTACCCAAATGTTCTAACGCTAGATGGAACGAGTTTCAGGGGGCTCTACAAGCTCAGATGTTTGAAGGAGACCTATCCCCTCCTCATCCTGAACAATCTCTTCCTCACATTCATTGACATAGTTTACAGAAAGTGTGAAATATAGTTGACAGAAAATGTGAAATATCTGTATTCAGAGTCTGGTATAAATACATTCAAAAGAGCTCCTCTGTTAAGAATTAAAAGACAGAGGGAGCGAGACAAAGAAAAATGATTCAGACCTTAAACCTATTTGAAAAACGAAAGATTCTCTTTCAGGTTTTAAATCAAATGTACTTCATATTTTTATCTTTAGCACTCCTTACGCCCTCACATTCCTTTTGGATGTTTCCCAGCTCTTGATGCCCAGCTTGGAAAAGAGAGTTTCTCTTCCCAGTCTTGTTTAGCATGTGCCAATCATACCCACACCTGCCTTTTTAAAATCTCCAAACACAGTGAAGTCCTTCAGCTTTCCCATGGTCTGTCTGCTCCCTGGGTTTAGAAATCCGCTTTCTGGCAGACTGTGGACATCTGACTGTGTATGATGCACCAGCTCCCCAATACTGCTGAGATCTGTCTTCTCCTCATTCAACTGTCACAGCTGTATTAGCTCTCTGCCAAGCAAGGTGAGCATTTTAAGATTTAAGATTGCTTTATTGGCGATATTCAATTTCTTGGATTAGGAATTTGTCTTTTCGCAGACCCCAACCTGCTCTCCATGAGACACACAGACAGGGAGAGAATCTTGGGGTCAGAGCGCAGGGTCAGCCATTTATACAGCAAACCTGGAGCAGTTGGGGTTAAGGGCCTTGCTCAGGGGCCCAAGGGAATAGGATTCCTCTGCCGGCTGCAGGATATGAACCGGCAACTTTCCAGCCACCAGATCCTTAACCACACAGCCACCACACCGCCCGGTGGCTTTATTATTATAAATCTCTATAATATTTTTTTATTATTATTCTAGAAAAGCTGTACTTAAGACCTCCAATCCAATTGTAGAGTATATCGCCAGTCTTTTAAACAGCTAAAAACTGCTGAGCACCCCTCAGCTGCTGAGGCAAGGACCAATTTTCTCACAGTGGTTCAGTAAAACCGAACAGCGAAGCATC